ATTTGATGATAATTATGGCCAATCAGACGCCGTATCACATTCCCGACGATATCAAACACATGTATTACGATATTTACCGAAACCATTGTCGCTATTTTGAAAATGTCAATCTCGACGGCACTCACCACTTGCATATGAATGACCCGATTCCTGTCGCCAATCACATCAACCAATTTATTTCCCAATCATTAGCCCTTCAACTCACACCTAAACTGTAGTCATTTGTTATAATATTTTACTATTTAATATTTTATTTTGATTAAAAATTTGACATTTTATGAACTAAATTCATTGATTGTATTTTGATACTGTATATTGCAATTTTAGGACGAATTAAATTTTGTTAAACTATATTTCTTATTTTGTTCATTTTTACTGAACCCATTTACTGTACCGCTATATTTTCATTAATCAAAATATACCGGTATAATAATATCGACAAATAATACATTAAATTTAATTTAAATTTGATACCGGTAATAGGAAATTTTTATTATTATCTTTTTCATAATTTTTATTTACGGTATAAATGATAATTTATCAACATATCCATACTATATTTATTTAAAGTGATTTTTATTGAAGAATTTACAGTGAAAGCATAAATTCTATATAATTTGGTTAAATCTATGAAATATAAATTATATGATACAGTATATTTTGCAAATATTTGTACCGGTACATTTATTATGCTTTTCAAATACAGTATCGTAATTTTAGAATTATCTCAAAAGCCAACTGTTAGAAAATTTTGTATCTGTAATACACATGTACTTCACTTTAAATAATATACCCTATAAGTAAGAATTTGTTCATATTCCGAATTCATTTCATTGAATTTAGTGTTAAACCTTCAAACTGAATCATATCATATCAAATCTATAGCATATTCACAGTATGCTATGTTGAATTTAATAATTCTTTTGAAACGCTGTGTAAATAAAACTATAATATTTGATAAATTCTTAGAATTCCTAAAATAGATTTCTAGAAATCGATTCTTTTATATGAATTTCCTTTTATATATTTAAGTGAATTCCTAAAATTTTCTAAATATATAAGTCAATTAAATGTAACTGTAAGTCAATTTTTAAAAATAATTTTGTCATATGGAAATGTTTTTATTGAAATTTACAAAGATTTTAATCTCGGAACAATTCACTAATCCCCACATTTTCCAAAAAAGGTTTGTATCATATTTTCTACACATATTTGTAGTGTCAGAAGTATAAAATTGGTCTAAATGATGACTAAATTAATGTCTAATAATTTGTTACATTTTAGTAATACTTGAGATTCATAATTATATACAAATGTCATTGAAATTATTATATTACAATTTTTCTAACTTATATCTGGACTCAAAAACAAATAACAATTTGGAAAACATATGGTTTGACAACCACATAGAAATAAATACATATGAGATGTGCTGTTATGTCATACAGAATATATTTAAACAAAATATAACTTAACTATACTACAATCAATACAATCATCCATTAATGATCTGATTAAAGCGCATAATTATTTATTCATCAGTTATTTAAATGAATTCACAATCAAATAATTGAAGAGACAAATAAAAACATTGATATAGAAATAGTTGCATTTCATATAACGATTCGTGAATTTTAGATCAATTCATTAAATGAATAAATATATAGAATACTGTACTGTACTATAGAAAAGTGATACATGTATCTCATGAATATTTATTTCATCCAAAAGTCACTTATTTTGAGTCAATTATATTAAGTTATTTGAACGATAATAATAATACAATACAATATAAATTAAAATAAAATATGATTTAAAACAAAAAATATAATCGTATCAACTAATAAGCCATTCAATAGTGTCAATAATAACAATAATGAAAACATTTGTGTGCGAATCGAGTCTAGAAATGATGGATATTAATAGAGATTGATTTTTCTGGTAATAGTTTTCCTACACATGTGACACGTCTTGAGAGTTTGGGCGCAGTTAAAGCAGGCGGAGTGACCGCACAGGAAGGCCATGCGGAGGACACCGTTGTGTGTGTAGGGAATCATACAAATGGTACAACTGTTCGCTTCTTCAATCTCTGCTATCTTTGACTCCAAATACTTAAGTCTTTCGAAACTAACTTTGGGCTCATTTTGCTTATTATTATTCAAATTACTATTATTGTTATGATTATCGATATTTTGCTTATTATTACTACTATTAGAACTATTAGTGCTATTATTACTATTAATACTATTATTACTATTTTTGCTATTATTGGCCGCTTTGGCCACAAGTGACTCTTCGCTTATATTGGATTCAATCAATTGTCTGTTCGTTTGTTTCACAATTTTCGCATCAATTGATTGGTGACATTCAACGCACCGTTTAATTCGTATTGAACACAACTCACAGACCACTGAATGACCGCATGGTTTGAATACCACGGAAGCCGTTAATTCATTGCATAGAATGCACTCATTGTTAGTATTCATGTCCACTAAACTGATGCCACTCTCACTGCCAGTCACCGCAGGATTACGAGTCGAGTCAGAGTCCGATTGATTCACATTAATCACATCACCAGAGGATGTGCTCACAGCCACTCCCCTCTCCTGACTCTTTACTCGACTTTTTCTGCGATCGACTAAACCTACTATAAAATCTTTGGCCAAATTATAATTCAATGCACTTGTGTTGGACTGACTGTCCACTTGTTTGGCCATTTCGAGCATATCGAGTGCCGTCTTTCCTCTCCTATTCTTGAGAGTGATGTCTGCATTTGCCTCTTGTATTAGGAAACAAGCAATCGCTAGGTTTATGTTTTGTCCGAAACCAATGGCTGACAGTTTGTTCAGAATCTTTGTCATAGAAATGGATACAATTAATTCAAATTCACGTTTACTGTTAACTAGAAAACATCATCAAAGACTTACATCGGAAATGACGGTAGAATTTGTGACAACAGAATCAGCTTTTAGTGATTCGCGACATTTGGCGAGTGCTAAGTGTAGGGCACTGTCGTTATCTTCGTTAACAATGTCCACATTAGCGCTCAATCGCACCAATAGTTCAATGATAGCGCAGTGGGACTGACCCACGGCTAGCATTAAAGGCGTTTGCTTTCTATTGTTTTGTATATCGATGTCTGCCTGTCCCTGAATTATAAGTATCTCCACGATCTGCAAGTGGCCGTTAAGAGCTGCCAAATGGAGGGCCGCAAAGCCGTCCTCTTTCTTGCAATCGACTAATTGACGCGATTTTGTAATAATCTTTTCGGTGGCGAAATGATTTCCTTTGAGCGCCGAGTGATGCAAAACATTAAAACCTCTTCTATTCCTTAGACTAAAGTTAATTCCGGGCGAAGATATCAGTAAATCAATTATTTCCAAATTCTCCAGTTTTCCGATCGCGTCGTGTAGAGCACTGTCACCATAAGAGTCCAATTGATTGCAATTGCAGCCAAACTTGAGGAGAACGCGGACACAATTTATATGATTCTTGTTGACTGCGATGTGAAGACTTGAACATCGGGTCCGGTTAACGGCGTCGATATCCGACCCTTTGGTCAATAGGAGTTCCATTACATCACTTTGGTTTCCAAAGGCCGCGTAATGGAGAGCAGTGTCTCCCTCTTCATCGCGAAGATTGATGTCAGCCCTCGCCTCCAGAAGCAAAGATACAATTTCGAGGTGTCCCTGATGTGAGGCCACCTGAAGGGCTGTTTTGCCAGAACTCTTGTGGTCAACACATTCGGGGTATTTGTCGAGAATCTGTTTGACGGCTTCGAGGCGTCCCTGCGCTGCCTCCCGGGCTAAGTTGTCTTTGTTGACGCGCATGGAAGGCGTCACACTATTGGCAGATATGGGAACTTCTTCTGACTGGGAACTAGTGGTGCCATGACTTGGCTCGTGGTCTAAGAGGTTACCCAACCGAGAGTTGGTGTCTTCTCTGGTCGGGTGTGAAATCATTGTGTTATTCATTTCGGTGGCTGATCCGGGCATTAATGAGACGCACTGAGGGTTGAAAGTCCAGGTCTGGCCGTCGACTGTGACCCTGAGGTCGTGGTCTTCGTAAACCTTGACAATTTTGCCCATTTTGCCGATGGCACCGGACATGTGGTCGTTCCACTCTCCGTGACATTTCTGCAGTTCTTTCACTTTATTAATGTCATCACAAATCTTAACGATATCTCCCACAGAGTACGAGATAACTATATTCAAAGCGTTTGGATTGAATGTCCACCGATTGTGACAGCCCTCGAACTGCACTCTAATGTCTCCCTTATCTGTCACTCTATGCACAGTCCCGATGTGACCAATAAATTCGGCCATTCGTTGGTTCCAACCTCCGTGTCCTTCTTGGAGTGCTTTCAGTTCATTCACGTCTTCAATAATAACCTTCACTTTGTCGCCGACATTGAACGGTGCGGTCATACCGTTCCTCTGATTGTCAGCACAGGTCGATAAGGAACGGGCGATAGCGATACGATTGAAGCCTTCGATCGGTTGTCCCAATACTGGCAAATGGTTTCGATAATAATAAGGTCCCGGAGCGTCGACCGCATACTTTAAATCCACTTTCCCTTTGTGGCCAACTCTGTAGACATTAGTGGAACCGGAGGCCCACATCACGTTCGCAACACTTCTTCGAGATTCGTTATCCCATCCCCTGATGTCTATCACTTTCCCCACTTTCCCCTCACCACCTGAACAACCAAATAGTATTACAATTATTAGTCAATTCAAGCGCACCGGTAGTCATAGGCATACCATCTTGATTAGCCCAATCCCAGTCATAACCTCTCATGACTCTCGAGCCAACAAATATTCCTCGCGATTGGATCTTAACGTTATTTTTTGAGTTTCTTTTAGTCATTTCGACTCTAATTGGAGTAGAATTCAAAGAAATCAATGGTTAGTGAGTGAAGAGACCAATGGATGAGTGGTGTGAAGACAAACCCGGGAGAGGTGTAGGTCTCGAAGCGAGCGAATGTGTGGTTGAGATCGTGTTTGTCATTCATGTAGCAGAGGGTGCAGAGGTCGACGCCCTGACACACCAAACACTTCCACCTGATGCCGGCCACGCCGTGCTTCTTACAGCCGTTGCATATGATGTTGTAGTGTCTGAAACCAATGGTCGCGTTGTCTAAGACCCGCAAATCGTATGCATTTTGGTAACCAATCCTATAGTTAGTGCGCGAACCAGAGTCCCACTGAACCACAACTGTCTTGTCGGGAGTGGTCGTAGATCCGGGTCGACCCACCTCTACGACAGTCCCGCAGTGACCCTCACCATCATCTGATCAATCAGTCATCAAGCACATCAGCAATGGCAACGTAGTGGACACGTATCAGTGCAATGGCTACATACCCTGGTTAGACCACTTCCAGTCGGGCCCACGAACCACACGAAGACCCACATTCACTTCCATCTGATTATTACCATACAATGGCTTCACGTGTCAACCAAATGGTCACTAATTGACAGCAATTGAA